CATTATATTAAAACCCAAATAACAAAATTAAATTAAAAATCCTTACGTTTCCAATACTCTTCTATCTCCTTTTTATTCTCTTGTTCTCTTCATTAAATCTGATTTAATTGGCATTGTATTAACCATGTTGTCGCAACTTCGTATCTAAGTAATAATCACGATGGTCCTTTATGGTTTCAAGGAAGCCTAATGTAATTAAACATACAACTTTATTGGAAATAACGATAATACTGCAAGTATGAACCTTTTCTAAACTAGCACTAACATTGTAGTTTTCCCAAATAATAACAAAATGCTTACGATATACTCTTTTTATCGGATTCGATTATCTAAAAATGAACCTTATTTCATTATCTTTTGATTACACATACGCACTAGAATGGCAATATAACAATGAAATGTTATGTTAAGTCTTGTTACCAGTATAGGTAATCGTTTTTTTTTATTGAATACTGTTATTATTTTCTAAACCTCCATTTGTTGTACAGTTTGTTATCCATAAGAATGGTTAGCAACTAAAACTATTTCTTACACCTTTGTTTACTCCGTATACAAACCCGTAACCCCATAATCCCCGTTATTTCCTTCATAAAATAGTTATGTCTTCATCCCTGACAAGCTAAAAGGTAAAAGTAACTAAAGAACTACTTCTCATGTGTTTCTATGTGTAAGTAACGTTTTTATATAACTCGTATAGTTTTCTATAAATGGTTGGACATAAGTACGCTGCCATCGATCACTACTACTATTTAGTTATGTCGTTAAATAGTAAATTTGTCGTTTTATAAAAGATATCGAAAAATTCCAAAAGAGTGCACAAATCATTAAATAGCAATTTTTAAGTTTAAATTTATGATTGCGTCTTATACCACGGTATCGGTGCGGGTAAACTTATAAAAAAGCTCAGATCGGTCTCTTTTCACCCCAACGCCATTTTTCGTCATATAATATTTAGTTTTTATGACAAATCCTGAACTGTTAGTAGAAGATTGCTCGTACATTTATTAGTAACGAGACCGCGAGGAATAGAATAAAGTTTTCAAGTGGTTAATATAAAATGATGAGCAAGCGCTTTAAAGCGCGATACGCATAGGGGAACTTTAGTAATAATAAGTTGAAGTAGCTTAGACACTTCACTTCACGTTTTAAATATACAATATGAAACACTCTAGTTTTACTTAGATGACAGGTATTAATATTAGTTTCGAATAGTTAAGCTGTAAAAATCATTATAAGATAAAAACATTTTTAAATTATTGTTTTAGATACCTTTTAAATTTGTTAATTGCCCAACTTAATTGCTTTTCCAGTATGGTCTCATATGGGTAAATACAAAATCCCTGATTCAATTGTTTCTTCATTTCATACTGTATACGGCTCAAACAGCTTGTATAATTTATTCATATTTCGTGCAACAAGTGTCAGACGACTAATTCATGATTAACCCCATTGTACTGTAATTGCTATGCTTTATATGGATTTAGTGTTTTGAAATATCCATTTTTGTTCTGTTAATCCAAAATTTTTCTAGTCTTGATAGTTCTATTTTTTATCTAAATTCTACTGTCTGGTATTATTTAAGATATCAATAGAATTAGTATATACAAAATTTTAACATCTCCATCGTTTTATACACTATTAACCATGAGTTCGTACTCGATTCTTGTATACTGTAATAATTATTAGGGTTGAAATGTACAAATATCTGGAGGGACTTTATCGATTTAATAATTTTAAGATTAAGTTTCATAAATGGTCGTCGCAGTCCTTTATAATCCAACGGCTTAAGTAAAGGACAAAATAAACCAAAGTATGAATAACATAATGGCACACACATTAGCATAGGATCCTATTACGATTCAATATATTTTCAATCCCTCCCGGTAAAAATGATCCTTCTAAAAATCTCGTTAGTACATGACAGTTTAAAAACATCTTTGAAACGTAATATGCACCTGAGTTAGGGCTGTCAAAACTTATTTTCGTTTTCAGTATGTTTTACGCACGATTATATTGACAGTTCGAAGCTTTAGATTTCAGAAAGTTATTAGATGTTAATTTAGAGACATTTTTACTGACGTTCATAAGTGTACTAATCTGGGAGTGTAAATAATAATTAGTCTTGTAATTCAATTTTCTTCTGGTAGGTTCTCAACAGTCTTATTATACGACGTGTACGGTGAAATGTCTCTGTTTCGTCAAAATTCGTTTGCCTGTAAATTCATTTCAGGCATTCCCTTGTCGCGGTCGTTTCCTTTGTGAAGAATACCTAGAGCAACCCCTGCCTCTAGTCACGTAAACCAATTTTTAGTGTACTTGATGATATCACATCTTATAAATAATATACTTCAATTCTAAAGAAGGCAACGCCGAGATATATAAATAATGAGATTGTTATATATCAAACCCGCCTTAATCTAGTTAGTGTGTAGTGATTAATAATGTTATTTTGGTTATTGAACTACAGAATATTGCAAAAATTGTATATCTTGGAAGTGGCAGCCCTTTCTTATGCATCTTGATAGACATTTAACTAGCAAGGCCGGAGATATTGCCTCAGAAGGTTCATTTGTTCAGCATCAACGCGCTTGCATATTAATGCGGCATTTAATTCACTATAGCTATATTGTAATTTCTTTAGCCCCGAAGTAGTGTAACGGAGAACTTATTTACTTTATTGTAATTCAAATTAAATAGCAAAGAACGAGCCACTTAATCAAAATATGTACTTAAGAAATGCTGACTATTTAAAAATATTTAAAATTCAGTCCGTATATGTTGGTCTGCAATAGTTTTTTCTTATATAGTTTTTACGTATGATTTTCATTTACACACTGAATCAAGATTATGAACATCAGCAATGCTGTAATCGTATTATAAGTAAATATTATAAATATAAATATGCACTGGGCTAAAAAAAAACTCTTTTTTATACAATAAATCAACTTTGCTTTATAACTTTGATAATAAATTTTGATAACTAGTTTTGATTTTACATAAATGTTAATTAATCAATGTTTTATAAAGTAAAGCTTTTTTGAACGGAAGAAATGAGAAATTTATTGTATTAAGTATTTTATCTTTCGGTCGCTTTAAGATACAAATAAATTCAATAAGAACATTTATTTTATATCTCATTAGATAGATAGATTAATAATTGTATTTTATTATTTGAACTGTCATAAAATAATAGTAAATGTTGATTAGTTACGAGTTAAGTAAATAATATACCTATACCTTAAAACCTTCATTATGGGCTTAGGTTGAAACAAGTTTCTTATAGTAAGTATTTTTATAGAAAAAGGGAGCAAACCGGCAGAAGGCTCAGCTGATGTTAAGTGATGGACACTTTCAATGCCAGAGGGCTCGCAAATGCGTCGGCCATTTAAGAATTGATATTCACTTTTCTTGAAGGACCCTAAGTTGTATTGGTTCGGAAATACTTCAGTGGGCAGTTTGTTCTACATAGCGGCGGCGCGCTGCAGAAACTGCCTTATAAAACGCTGAGTCTTGAAAGCAGTACTTTTTTAGGTTAAAACTCAGTATACCTTAGTGTTATAATATCTCGAAAACTAGGTGACGAATTATAATTAAAGATAATAATTGTTCAAACTTTTGTAGGATTTTATTAATGTTAATAATATATTGTATAGACGAAACTATGTAAATAAATAAGAAAATTCATATCACAATAAGTAATTTGACCTTCTGTATGAAAACGGGTTAACCATTGGTAAATAATATTTGTATCCAATTACTTGTCAAGGCAGCGTGTGTAGCTTGGGTCGGTTTGTGATAGGAACTCCCATAGGAATATTATTATCAATTCAGTATAGCTCATAACGGATGAAAAATATTATTTTCTTTATATTTTATTTATTTATTATGATATTAAAACTAGGATACTATAATAAATTTTTTTACAAAATTTGAATGTAAGGATTTTAATCTAGATTTAATCTAAAAACATAAAAAAGAACTCCAAAAGAAGCTTAATGCTACTTCCTCACTGTACGAGTATTGCGATGGTTATACACTTAGCAAGGACAGCACCAGCTTTGGAGTCACAGATACTGTCTACCAGGAAAAAACTCAAATCTTGATTTGTGCCTCAAGGCTCCACAGACTTGGGCATCCAAAAAATTTCATAAGGAAATCGACATATTTTACACGGAAGGCTAATCGCTCAAAATTTTTAATAAATACCGGGAAACGCGCATGCCTCTGCGGCCTAACTACAGTAAGGCCTGTAACGCTACTGGATTCATTTTTGTTTAAAAAATAAAAAACATGACTAAAACAGAAAAAGGATTTCGTTTTTAAAGTCACACACTCTTTTGTTTTGTTGACTCCACAAATAGAAAGAAGTTAATATCGATACCGATAATCCATTAAGTTACTATAATTAACATAATATAAAAATATAAGCATTACAAATGACTAGCTATATTTAACCCAACCTCAAACAAACAAACATGACTATAATAGCTTTAAAACAGTAAAATAGTTGTATTGATAATATTCTGATTGTCATATTTAAATACAATTTAATCTGGTTAATAGCATATAATGGAACGCCTTACTAAACACAAAATAGGGAGTAGGGTGGTCCGACATTTTCACGCTAAAATAAATTATGTTAAAAGTTCCCATTAAGGTAATTGTGGGGCACATGCCCTAATAATTTCTTAAAGGCTCTATAATAATTGACATAATAAATAATTTCTCTGCTGTCGTGACTTAAGATGAGTTTGTGCCTTTTAATACTGTCAAAATTTATTTAATAATATTTATATAGACTAAATAATTTAATAATTTTATTACTTTAGTTTCTTAAAGTTATATAGTATTATTAATTGGATAACATTATCGGTGTATCGTAATTATTTTTAACAGTGTCTGCTAAAAAGCATGTATGTGTGACTGAGATTTTTGTTATTATAAATGTCATTTCATAATGATACCCTATACAGTATACAATTTGTTTCAGAAACGTCAAAATGAATGGTTTCTCGATCCACAACAACAGCATAGCCTTGTTGTTTGCAATTCTCACATTCTTCTTAATGACTTCGTTTGTACTTACTGCGCCATTGGTAACTATAAAGAAAAAAAAAAGTAAAGAATTAAAATTATTTATTATTGTTATGAAAACTTTCCATTTTTTAAGAGCTTTCTCCAAATTGTTACATGGTACGAATGTTGTTTACAAGAGAAAGATTTGTATTTCTTGTATCTTTATAACGAATGAACTCAAAAACAACTGAAATACGTTTTCTAATTTTTTTCACCATTAGAATTAGATTATCAGTGTAAAATAGGCTATATAAAATATTTTTGAAGTAAAAGTGTGATGTCGCCGTCAGGCCGCCAATAATATAAATACTATTGTTTTTGTAAAAACAATTGCGTGATCTATATTAAATTATTTTCATATAAAACTTTATTTAAATAAATTTTTCACTATTAGGATTCGGAAGATGAACCAGGAGAAAACATGTTGATTGGCAGACCCGTTATGGGGGATGCAGACATGACATGGGATGCAATTAACACGGCTGCACTGCGCAAGATGTTGTTGCAAATGGACGCCGAGGAAAGGTATATAAAATAAATTAATAAAGTCTTCTATATGCAATCGAAAATGATTTTAACTATGATTTTCTAGACAGTAGTAGCCACTAGGATAACCGACCCTAAAGCCTGGAGGCTGGAGTAATGCGGCAGATGAACCGGCTCGAACACATCAACGTTTTACTCTTTCTAACTATTAGTTACTTTGTTCATTTGATAATCTAAGATTTTACTGTGGTTTATGGTGACCGCCAACTTTCGAAGGCTATCTGCACTATAAGAAGAACTGTAGTTTATAGACAACAGTCTTTAACCACTGGACACCCAAGACCGGAAGGTACTTTTTTAATTGAAGTTCCAGTAAAGTGTAGTTCAGATTCTTTTTTGTAGTTGAGAATTCAAAACCCTACGTATATGTTTCTTGCATGCTGAGTTACAGACCCAAAGACAGAAAACTGTATACACAGAGCTGTTCAACCCTGAATGTATTGTACCTTAATTGCTATAAGACGTGGACAGAATTCACTTTTCCTTTGACCTAGGTTAATTACATCGGGGTTTACTTGAGGTTGGGAAGTCTACCTAGTCTATAGAATATATACCTACTAGCGACCCGTCCCGGCTTCTCACGGACAACCCGTGAACCATTATAAATTGAAAAATTGTATACCTTCATCAGTGAAAACCGCAATAAATTCCATGCAGTAGTTTTTGAATTCATTGCAAATAGATAGATAGGGCGGCAGAGGACTTGTTTTTTTAATATAAAAGTTAGACATATTATTAGACATATTCTGTCACTGCAATTTTTTTTGGATTATCAATTTCTACAATTTTTCTCTAGAACTGAATCATATATCTGTCATCAAAAGGCACCGTTCATTAGAAACGTTTTTTTTTTTCGACTTACTTTGCGAATCCGGCAACCACTAAATCGCCTTTTAATAACTATCAAATTTGTTTAGTAGTTCCAGAGATTAT